GATAAAGAGATGGAAAGAGAGGGAGAGAGAGATAATAACCTAACGTTCATCCCCTCATTTTTGCATCGTTACTATCAACAAAAAAAAAAAACCAACAAAAAAAAAAAAACCCAACAAAAAAGGGATCCCAGTCGCTTTGCTTCAGTGTTCGTTAAATGGAGAGAAAAGCACATAATAAAGCTGCATGGTCTTGCTGTGTGATCTCAGGCTCAAACAACACCTGTTATGCATAAATCCATCGCGAGGAAAGCGAACTGAGCAACATTTAATAAACATAAGACGGGCAGAGGCTACCTAATAATCAACAGCTGATCAAAAAAAAAAAAAAAATCCAGGATGAGGACTGATGTAAAGCCACATTTAAAAGATATGCATACAAAAAACACTCTCTCTCACACACACAAAAAAAATCCACCGCCACCCTTTTACATTTTCATGGAGAAGAAGGTGCTCATTTGGTGTCTGAATATCATCCGAGAAAACAGATTTTATGTTGCATCACGTCGAGGATGGGTTTCCAGAAGCCTAGAAACACACGCGGTGGAAAAATAACATATCTTGCTCTGTTCATATATCCAAATGATGTCAGATTTTCAATGCTTATAATAACCCACCCACAAACGTTAGAGAGGAAAAAAAGATCGCGCATCCCCTAAATGAATCGTCTTGGCGTTTATATTGACTAGTGGCACCAGGACAATTAGTCCACACAGACAACAGCCGCGATACGTCTCTTTTCCCCATCTTTCGGCGTAAAAGGCGATGTATTTACCCTGAACTGTTATTATGCAGTCTTTGTTTTGCTGTCCAGCGAAGGTGGACTACATCTTAATGGTCCAAAATAAAAGCCTCCGTGACAGAACAAATACATGATTTTTGGACAAATCCAGCGACGGCACAGAGGGCTTCACATCGCAGACGCTGCCGAAATCAAATGGAAAAAAAATAGGAAAAACAAAAACAAAACCAGCACGGCTGGATTAGGCGAATTATTCCTGAATAATCCCAATTATGGCTGCTTGCAAGGAGGCAGCTCGCACATTCGCGGAAACCGTCGGTTTTATTCGGAGAGAGAGAGAGCGGGAGGGAGGGAGAGAGAGGGGGAGGGAGGCAGGGAGGGAGGGAGAGAGAGGCGGACCTGTGCAGTACTGTGGGCCCAATAACTTGAAAGTGATGTTCTCTGAATGACGCGCCAGTTTTGTCCAGTATGGGTGCACTGAGGAGCTCCACCTGTCAACTAGCTACGTCTTACACTGGTGCTCCTGTCCTCGGTGACAAACTGGGTTGACTGGAACACATGGGCCTGACGGGGTCCAAGGAATTCTGGGGGCTCTGGAAGAATATTGGGCCTCCTTTTTGAAAGTGGAAAAACATCTCATTTAAAGTTCTGCAAGAACCTAAAAACATCACCAGAACGAGCACACACAATTGATTCGAGGTGCCTTATATTTTAAGGCAAAAATCCTACAATAATACAAAATAAACAGATAAAACTCCAGCAATCATATGACCCCCTTTGAGCAAGCACTTTGGCGACAGTGGGAAGGAAAAACTCCCTTTTAATAAGAAGAAACCTCCAGCAGAACGAGACTCAGGGAGGGACAGCCATCTGCCATCTGGGGTGAAAACAGTGGACACCAGGGGCATAATTTCCAGGGGGGTTAGGGGGGTTATGATCCCCCCAATAATCAGACCCAATCAAAATAAGCCCCCCCCACCCCCCCATGAAATTATGAATTATTCTGCATAAATAGGCTGTTGATTTTCTTTACTCATTTCAGGTATTACCAGCAAAATAGTTGCATGTTTAATCATCTGGGAATTTACCCAGATTTATTTATTTATTTGGACAGAGATCTTGACCCCCCCAATGTTCAGCACAAAGTTACGCTGATGCTGGTAGGTGTACAATATGTGAATGAACAAGACTGTGTTATGTGACCCATGATGCTGCACAAGTCTGTAAATATAATTTTGTGTTTGATAATTTCTTTTATCAAAGTGGGGGGAAAAGACTTTAGACTTTTTATTAAATAAATGCTGCAATCCTACTTAAGTAGGTTATAGCGTGCAAGCTTTTTAATCAAAATATATATATATTCTAAATACTGAGTAGGCTAAAGTAAGCATACTCACTATGATCACTATTATTGATCCATGTATGTGTGTACATATATTTCTCTTTAATGTTCCAGCTGTTGATTATTTTCAATACTTATATATTGCAGGGTAGGTTGATCTATAATAATGCAGTTAATCTGCAGAATAATTCTAAACTAAAGATTTAATACTTTACATTAAACCTACACCTTAATAAAGTACTTGAGGAAATGAATTTAGTTACATTTCTACTGTTCCTATCCATGCGCTCATCCAGTGGTGATGTAAGATTAGCAGTAACTAGTACTATGTTTCAAGGCAAATTATATTTCAGCTCATCCACCCCATGCTCCTACCCCTCACATATCTGTTAACTAATAGTAGTAATATCAAATTATCATAATTTTAAATACAAGGACTGTTTTAATAATTGATGGAAAATAATTTCCAGTCAAGAACTGTCTGAAGTACAGAATCCATGAATATCACCTAATGCATCATATCCTCCTGGATCTGCCAGGCTTTTACTGCGGTTTCTGGTTGTTTGCGCTCCTAGTTTTATTTTTAGGAGCTGAAAATCATGCTCTATTATATGGAAGCTTGAAATTGCCACTCATGAGTTAAAATTTTGGCTGTTATGTCAAAATTTTGAGTCAGGTATTGCAAAAGTTCAACTTACTAACTCAAATGTCTGAGAAAGGTTTTAAACTGAAGTTTCAGTCATAGCTGGTGCCACCCCATACCCCCTTCTGGATACACCTCTGTTTACGAAATATCTGCAGTTAAAAATATATGCTCGACTACAGCTGGGAAAAAACACGTTTCACCATTATTTATTTATTTTTTATTATTAACAAGAGTTCTCACTCTGGGATGCACAGTTTAAGATGTTGGTTAGTTTTACTAATGTATATTCTGCTTTTTTCCCCCCCTACATCATTCATGGTAATGATGAGCTACTTAGGTTTAAGTTTAAAAAAAAAGAGTTTTACATGTTACTGCATGAAATCTAATTATCTGTCTTTAGGACCTTGTTAGCATTACTGTTTGAATATAAATATACAAATAAATAATTTGATTATAATTAATACAATAATTTGAGTTTTTAGCCTCACAATGAGTGTCCCAGATTTTATTGTGAAATCAACTGCCCTTTGAAAATGGTAACACGCTAACCAGCCAAACTATGTAAGCTGATTATAAATGTGAAATACATGTCAAATATTTTTGACATAAAACCTTTAATTTATATTACTTTATTTAGTTGTATTATAAAACAAACAAAAGCAACAGGTTAAAACCATGTGAAATACCCCAGTGTTTAAAGAAAAGTGCATCAGCTAAAACAAAATAGGAATTAAATTATGAAGGCAAAGCTAGCTAATATTATAATGAGCTTTAATCTAACGCAGCATGTATAGATGAATGTAATCAGAAGCTTCAGTTTGTCATTTCAAACATATAAACAGAACTAAATGTTCACCAGGCACAAACAGTGCTTAGTTGAACATTGACAGCAGCACAATGCTGAGGTTAGATATTTAACTGATAGTTTGTGTTTCCAAACGTAAAACATTAAGGCAACCTGAAGGTCACAAAAGGCCTTCTGTTTCTTTCTGGCAATGGCAGATGCCATAAGATGCCATCATCTGTTACAGAATAAAGTTCTGGGTCTTTGAACACCAGTGTACAAGTAAACCAAAGCCGAATGAAAATGATAAATTAGAATTTTTGTATCCATTTAATGAGGCTTATTAACTTTCCTTGATATTAAACAGAGGTGACATGAAATACGCTTATTATTAGTGTTAGGATCATGGATCCTTTGGTTGAAAAGAAGCTCAAATGTTTTCACAACACTGATGCATGATATTAAAAAGCCTTCTGAAGGACAACAGTCAATAATAATGACAACTATATATTAGAGGCTCACAGCTTTAGGCGTACAGCCTAAAAATAAGTGCACAATACTGAACATCGAAGCATTTCTTTTCATTTGTTTTTATCCTCCATTTAATAAATGTTTTGAGGGGGTTTAATGAAATCTGTGGATCTGGGAAATGGAAACGTCTGAACAAAAAAAATAAAAAAAGGACTAAACGGGCAAATATGTGTGAAATGATAACTGTGATGGACCTGATAAAACCAATAAACATTCACAGGCCACGCTTGGAGGAGTACAATGACAAGTTAAAGGAGGGGTATTATGGAAAATCCGATTTGTCTTGTCTTGGAGGATTTCACTGTCACAGACAATATTTAAATAAAAGCTGGTACTCCTGCTGTTGCAATTGCTTCTCGTGATGAAATACCTCTGTTCAAACAAGCTGAGGGTGACGCCACACCCTGGGTGGAAAACGATGCCCTTCTAGCTGCTGTTTCTTAATATTGCCACAGCGCTCGCAGATCTCCTTTTGAAATCACTGCTTAACATGGACTACCTGAAAAAAACAGTAATTATTCCAAAGGGTGGGTCTTATAAAATTCCCACCAGTTATCCTGCTTGGGACAGCTTTCAGATTGCCTAAATTTTTAATGTTTTCCACCCTGCATGTGTGTGACCACCACACAAATTAGTTACTCCTGCTATTTTCCCTGCAGAAATCTGCAAAATACAAATGTGCTTGGATGAATACTCTGTTTTAAGGCTAATGCGTAATCTGCATATAATCCACAGAGTGCCTAACATCCAAGGATCAAAAGTTTAAAGTTATTAAAGCTTTATTTGGCCAAAAATGAAGATAAAATATTAAGACTAAGTCCTAAATATAAGAGGTAGACCTGACGAGAGGTGCCGTCTTATCGTATAACATCCGAGGAGATTTCCAGAGAATTTTCAGCCTTCAAACACTGAGCTCAGCTTACAGTGGCCAGTGTATACTATAAGCTGCCATGACTTCAGTGCAATGCCTGACCTTTGGCTTCTATCCGCAGCTCATGTTGCTGTCTGTGTATTTCCACTTCAAGCAAAGCTGAATACGCTCGAGTTGTGGAGGCGCTGAAGGCTCTGATGTTATTTTAAAGGTGTGTCAGTGCCTTCAATGCGATCTGTTCTGCACCGCAGTGTCATTACTGTGCATAAAGCTGTCGTGTTGTTCGTGTTTGTTCTGCAGACTGCATGAAAAGAAAAACACAGATAAGCAAAGACACAAAGTGGTACAGGATATGAGACCATGTTTAATGGCAATACACTGCAAAAACTTTCACCACTCCAAACGTATCAATCAGTGCCTCCGTCTGTCTGTGAGATTGTCTATTATGTTACGAGCTGAGTGCTGCGCTACAACAAGAATAATATGCATTTACGAGCAAGAAGGAAGACCTGTGAAATGAAAAGTGCCACGGTGAGGTGAACAGTTTTCCACTTGTTTTGCTGTCGCTCAAGCGGCTACCATTTCCGTCTTGTTTTCACTAAGTATTAAGGCAAAAACACACACACATGACCATGTTTTTCTTTTGCATTTTGTAAACAAAATCCCATTTTTATAGTAAGTCTCTTATATTTACCACTAGGGTAATCTTTCTGTTGTTCTTTTGTTTCGTTTTTGAAGCGATAACGACTTGAAATTCACAAAAGTCAAAGTCCTTAAACAACAGGCTTTGCTACATTGACAACAGTGAAAGTGCATTGTGATAGTGACTAAATAAACTAGAACATAACACCACAGAGACTCTCCACATGACAAGAAAAGGTTAGTGATTAGTGATCACTTACAAAACAGCTCTAATACTACACTGTGCTTTAATACTAGGTTCACAATGTTGTACAAATGGGGTGATTATTATTATATCTATAGAAAACACAATGTGTACGAAAATATCGCCATAATTACTTTCTCCTTCTATTTGACTTTGCATAAAATAAGCATGACTTCAAGAGGACTTTGTGTGCATGTTGCTTAGCTTGATGGCTTATTTTAAAACCATGAAAAGGCACTTAGCTTGACAGAAGATTTGGGGCAAAATCACAAACGGCACAAAACGAAAATTAGTCCAATTAGGAAGAGGGCAGTGGGTTCCTGCAACACTATCGAGAGGGAGACAACTCCACTCAGAAATATGACAGATGGCAGAAGATTCCTGTTTCTGTTATGCTCAGACTGGGGCTCGGAAAACTCTGACGCTGTGCTTGGTTCATTCTCTAATGACGTATCGGGGGAAATATGTGCAGCTTCTTCCTTCTCTTCCAAGGCTAAGACAGACTGAGTTACGTTTTCACTCACCTCAGTGACACCTGTACTCACTGAGGTGTTCTCTGGAAGCTCGGGTGATGGTAGAGCTTCACCTTCTGCTTTCAGAGATGTCTGAGTCTCAGCCACGGGAGACAAAAGTGCAGGCGTACTGGCTTCATGATTTGCTGCAGACCTGCTGGAACTTTCTGATAATCCTTCAACAGGTTCGCTCATTCCCACAGCAACGTCTCGCTCAAAGCCCTGTGTCACACTGGGAGTACAGGCACGCTCAGCAGGCAGTTCAAGGCAAGGATGACTGGCTGGTTTTTCTCCAGCTCCATCCTCTCCTGTCGTTGTCTCTGTGGCAGGAAGACACATGCAAGATGCTTCTAAAGGGATTTCCTCTCTGCCAGTCTGGGAGATGTCTGATCTGGGTTTGGAGTCTCGTTGCAGAAAAGGATGTGAGGCAGGCGGCGGTGTAGAGGGACTACTGTCTACGCGCTGCTCAGACGTCTGGTTGCCTAATTCACAGTGGAGTCTGGGTAAAGGCTGTGACTTATTTGGCTGGACTGATTCGCTGGCACAGAGTACAAAGGATGAATTAGTTTGATGTGTGGTTTGGGAAGATATAGAAGGAAACTGTTCACCTGGGAATACAGTGTGAGCGGACAGCGTGCCATCGTCAGATGGAAGCTCTTGGTTGGGTGGGACAAAGGGACCAGACGGGTGAGCTGCGATCTGCTGAAGTAAAACAGCAAGACAACAGTGATAGCTAGGAGACAAAGGAGGAACATTTGTATTCCACATTAACATTGCACGCTGAGGGAAGAAAAGCATTATACTGCATACTAATGCTTTTCTGTGAAAAGGAACTCATGCTGAAGTTTTAGCTGTGAGGAAATGCAAACAATTCATGAGCAATATGAAGAGGTGGACAGGAATCTTTTTTTAAAATTATGGGGGAAAAAATCTCCTTCCCTCGAATTTCCCTCCCAGGAGGGCAAAACAACGAATGTAGTTTAAATATTCCTTCCTTTAAGTGAACTCCACACGGCACAAGTGAATCCAAAGGAGAAGAAAATTGGATCGGTGCAATTTTCTTAATTATTTTCTCCTCAAGTTTTCCCACGTTTACACATACTGAAGTGAGGGTGGCTGTTTGAACAGCAGGGACTGGACCAAATGTAATGCCTAAAAATACTTATTTACATTTTAACTGGATTTTATTCAAAAAAGGAAAATAGCCATTAGCAAATAATGGAAAAGGAGTTTTCCCTGCTATGAGGCTGCCCTGACAAACATTCAAGGTCATATTGAGATGAAATCATTGCAATATAAAACCAAAAGACAGACAAGAAAAACAGCACCAAGAAGAACATATGCAAAAGCTGGACACATAAAATATGAAAACGGTAACAGCTGAGATAGGGCAGGTGGGTTTTAGTCAGCAGAAAGTAGCTAGATTCTTCTATTTCACAAAAATCATATAATTGTGTATAATGCAATATTTGTTCAGTTAATCCAAAAAATGGATTCTACTTTCCAAGAAGGTTTTTAATTTGACTTAAAAGAATTTTATTGTTGATTTTTTGTAAAATGTGCAGCTGAATCATTTAAGATCACTTTGTAGACCAACCATCTATGACTAAAAAGCTTCAGGGAAACCATCAATTCAAGTAAAGGAGTGCTAATGAGATCAGTGTTTTAATGCCTTTGTGTAACTTTAATGTATTATACAAAAGTTGGGGTATCAGTTTGTTGGGAATTATAAAGCCCAGATTCTCAAAACCTACGGAATGATACAAGGAATGATGGGAAATGATGTTCACCTTTATTTATTTGTGGGTTGTTTTTTTAATGTTCTGCTAAAAGGAAAAAGCATGCATGTGATCACTGAGGTGACACATGAGAATGAGCCAGGACAGCGTAACAGACACTTTTGTAGTATTGTGAGATATTAATATCAGATCACACGTTATCATGTTATTCTGTTAGGAGGTGGAGTGTGAGAATTTTTTTATGTTATGCAGAACTAATTAAACTTTCCCTTCTAAAATACAGTTATTAAGGAAGCTGGTATATCGATTTCCACAGAAGCATTTTTGCTCCATTGCCATGTTTTCAGTCTTCATGCTAATTGTGCAGCAAGTCAGATGAATATATACCCACTGACCACTTTATTAGGTATACCTCCTTTTGCCTTTAGAACTACCCCAATTCTTCGTGCCATATATTCAAAAAGGTGCTGGAAACATTCCTCGGAAATTTTCATCCATATTGACACGATAGCATCACAGATCCATTACATGAATCTTGCTGTTCCACCACATCCCAAAGGTGCTCTGCTGGACTGTTGACTATTACAATACAGTGAACTCGTTGTTGTGTTCAAGAAACCAGTTGTGGCTGTGGTGTAGAAAAGATGCATAATTGGTGTCAAAGGACCCAAGACAATGTTCCCCACAACGCTGCAGGACCATCACCACCATCTGAGCTGATGATACAGGGCAGGATGCTTTCATGTTGTTTATGGCACATTTTGGCATAAACAACAACAGTAGACCTGACAAGATTTGTCCAGGTTTCCCTCAGTTTCCTGTTTCTGTCATTGTTAGCTGACATATGCGGCACCTGGTGCGGTCTTCTGCTGCTGTAGACCATCTGCTTCAAGATTCAATGCACTGTCCATTCAGGTGTTTTGTGCATGCCTTGGTTGGCATTATTACTGGATAGTTTCTCTTTTTCTGATCAATCTCTAAAATCCCTAGAAATGGTTATGTTGGAAAATCCATGAAAATCAGCAGTTCTCTGAAATACCATCAACAACATTCAGAGTGGCTCCCCC